AGAGAGAGAGAGAGAGAGAGAGAGAGAGAGAGAGAGAGAGAGAGAGAAAGGACCTCTTGAGGTACTGTATATTATAATTTGGTGTTGGACATGGACCTGGGGCCTGGCTCTAAGCACTGTCTACCTCTGAGCTGCACACCCAGTCCTTGTACTAAACTTTCCTTCTCTTGTCCCATTCTGATAGCCCTAGAGTCACATGGTGAAGGCTACTTCCGAAGAGAGAGAGAACAGACACAGAGATTGGGGGGAACGACACAGGGCACCCTGGGCCTGCCCCAATAGCAGGGAACAATGGTGGGCATGGGTTGCAAGGAAGAGGAAGCCAGAAAGCCTGGGGCTTCCCTCGGTGTGGGTCATGGGAGACTAGCAGAATGAGAGGCCGTGCAATGCTCATAGGGGGTGTGAGGAGAAGAAAGGCGATGGACCCCCTCAATGGCCTAGACTGAACCTTTTAAGCTTCAGCTGTCTCAGAATCTATGAGTGGGAGGGCTATTGGTTCTCCCCAGTGGACCATATTTAGAGCTTCATGTTAGACAAGTCCTCTAGCCACTGAGCCATGGGGGATTCTAGGCAGGGGCTCTACCACTGAGCCACGCCCCAGCCCCTCACTGGGGGATTCAGGACAGGTGTTCTACAGATGACCTACATCCCCATCTAGAATCTTATAGTCTCCATGACTCTGAGATAGTGGATCTACACAAAATACCTAAGCAAATCAACTTGAAGATTTAAGAGGCTTCCTTTTGGCTCAGTTTTCAAGGCTTCAGTCCATGGTGCTTGGTTTCATAGCTTAGGCCTGTGCTTAGACAGAATTTCTTGGTTCCAGAAATACACGACAGGTGAGGCTGCTTACCTCATGGTACCCAAGCAGCGACACAGATTGACTATGGCATTCGCATGTGCACATACGCGTGTGCGCGTGCACACACACACACACACACACACACACACACACACACACCCCACAGAGGAAGAGGGCAGGCATAAGATCAAAACCACATATCCCCAGCTACCCACCTCCTCCTTAGGCTCTATAAGCTATGTCTCCCACTCCTACCACTATGCCATATTATGAATCATTTAATTCATTAATTCATTTAAATCATTAACGGAGCAATCCACTGATGCATGCATAATCCCATTCCAAAAGCTTTCCATAGAGACAAGGCCTCACACAGCCTGCCTTGACGTTGAACTGCATCTTGAAGAATCTTGCACTTCTGATCTTTCTGCCTCCACCTCCTGAGTGATGAGATTACAGGTGTATATCACCACATCTGGTTAATGGGTGCTGGGGATGGAGCCAAGGCTTCCTGAATGCTGCGTGAGCATCCTATCATGAGATGAACTGCACCCCAGCTCCCCTCCTCTGAATGCTGCATTGAGGACCCATGCCTTTTTTTGGTGGTGCTTAAGATCCAAGCCATGACAGTATGGATGAGCGTGGTTACTGGGATTAGGCTGAAAGGCTGGAGGGGTGTCTGGTGTTGGGTGTGGGGGGTCTGATAACACATGACCAGTACATATGCCACAAGGGGTGAGACTACTGGGCTGAAGTGTCCCAGTGAGATTAGTCTCCTAGTCACTGATAAGGGCCTTCCTCTGTGCGTGGTTCTTGGTGGTGGTTCCACGAATGGTGGTTGTAAAAGGAGCTGCAGGTTGCTTCTCGCAGCCCAGGTCCCGGCCACCTGGCTAGCTTATACCCCGAAATAACAACACACAAACTGTATTTATTTAAACACTGCCTGGCCCATTAGTTATAGCCTCTTATTGGCTAACTCTCACATCTTGATTCGACCCATTTCTAATAATCCGCATATCACCACGAGCTCGTGGCTTACTGGGAAAGATTCAGCATGTCTGACCTGGCAACTTCAGGGTGGGCAGCTCCCTGCCTGCCTTCTTCCTCCCAGAATTCTGTTCTGTCTTCCTGCCTATCTAAGTACTGCCCTATCAAAAGGCCAAGGCAGTCTCTTTATTTAACCAATGAAAGCAACACAAATGTAGAAGGACCTCCTATATCAAATGGTGGTACACAAAAGTGATCAGGACTCTGGCCTGGACTCAAGCCTGAACTCCCTATTAAGGGTCACAAGTGTTCAACCTATGAGAAAGCCAGGTTTGGTGGCGCATATCTTTAATCCCAACAATCACAAAATGGAGGCAAGTGGATCTCTGTGAGTTCAAGGCCAGGCTGGTCTACAGAGTGCATTCTAGGACATTCAGAGCTATTCAGAGTAAACCTGTATTAAAAATAAATGAGCTATTGGGAGTGCAGAAGAATCACTGAGACCTGGAGGTTGTGGGGAAGCTGATTTGCAGCTTGCTGCCCAGTGTGGTCAACTTAGAATGACCTGGAAATATCTGAGAGAAAGACCGGTATTTCTGAGCTGTGGAGTCAGAGGTGTGAACTCAGCAGTGTGAGATGAGAAGTCAAATGTGTGGTTCCCGAGAGGCAGAGAGGCAGGGGCAGGTGAATGGATGGGATCAGCTGCCCCATGACTGGTGGTCCGGGAGAGACTCAGGGTCCTGGGTGGGCTGGGAAGCTCGCAATAGAAACAGCCTGGCCGCCTTTTGGAGCGTTGCCTGCAGGGGAGGCAGCAAATGAAGTGTTCTCTGTCTCCACCTCATGTTGTGTGCAGAGGAGGCTGGGCTGAGATCCAGCTTGGCAGTTACGTCGTGTGAAACCTTCCAAGCTTCGTGAAGCTCCCAAGAAGGTTCTGGAGATTGCACAAAGCAGGTGGCAGACAAGGATGTGGGACAAGGGAGCTGGGCTCACCCAAGTCAGACCCATCTGCTTCTTGAGGATTCCCAGATCTGAGGATAGCTCTAGCCTTGGGTGACCTGGCCCTAGTAAACAGCCCCAGACTGAGGGTTCCCTTTCCCTGGGAAGATTATGGGGGGGGGCGAACTCTCTTTGCTTTGAAAAGGACTTTTCCTCCCCTCAGGGCACCAGGCTTGCATGCAAGTAACTTTACCCAGAACTCCCTTTCCAAGGAGGCCTCTCTCCCTCGTTTTGTCTCTATCAGAATTACTTCGGGGCACTCATGGCCCTACCTGCACCAAAGGGGCTGCAGGGGAAGAAAAAACCCAGACCTGGCTGTGTATGGTAGGGCATACCTGAAATTGCAGCAGTTGGGAGGTAGAGGCAGCAGGATCAGGAGTTTAGGGCTATTCTCAGCTACATAGAGGCTCAGCTGGGGCGTAATGGGGGAGGGGTAGAAGCACTTCCCTTGCATGCTTGAGACCCTGTGTTTAACCCCTAGAACTAGAAAGAAACCTTTGCGGTCAGCTCCGATGGCAATAATAATAATAATAATAATAATAATAATAATAATAATAATTAATAATAATAATAATAAAACAAAACAAAAAAACCCAAACACCACCCACTACACTAAAAGACCGGCTCAGGGCTGGAGAGATGACTCGTGGTTAAGAGCTGTGGCTGCTCTTGCAGAGGACCTGGGTTCAATTCCCAGCACCCACATGGTGGCTCACAACTGTTTGTAACTTCAGTTCCAAAGGATGCAGCGCCCTCTACTGGTCTCTGTGGGCACAAGCCATGTGTGTGATGCACAGATACACATGCAGGCACTCACACATATTGAAGAAGCACAGACCTTCAGCAGGTCCCTTCTAAATCTATGTTCTAAATTAGCCCATGACCCTGTACCCTATGGATTGCTGACATCCCAAACTCAGGGCATCCTGGCTCCATGTGGGGCTGCGATGGGAGGGTTAGGAACCGGGAGCCGGCAAGTCTCACCACAGGACTTAAGGTCGAGAGGGATGAGGGATGAAGTAGGTTCTTCCTTTATCACCTCTCTTCTACTCCCCCAGCCAAAGGGTCCCCACTGCCTGTCTCCCTTCTCCTCTCCATCCCCTCGGTTTCTTGGAGTTCAGACTTGTTCTGTGCCTGCAGCCCCATTCCCTACAGAACCACAGAGGAGTGTGTGTGCATGCATTTTGTGTGTGTGTGTGTCTGTGTGTGTGCACATGTTGCTCAAACTTTTCCGCGGCTTCCCAGCCTGCTGTTTCAGGCCCTTCTCTGCCCAAACCTCATCCACAGTTCAGGTCTCTCTGAGACAGCACAGCTGAGGCTCCTCTCCACTGAACAAGAAAACAGGCCCCTCCTTCCAGTCCAGTTTCTTGGAAAAAGGCGGAGCAAAGTCTGCAAGAGACGGACAGGCTTGTAGCCCAGTTGAAGAATGCTTGCCTAGTAGGTGCAAAGACATCGGCCGAAATTCTAACACTGAAAAAGAAAGTTGAGGTTGAGGGAGGGGGTCGCAGTGGGTAGGGTGCTTGCCTGGAAGACACAAAGCTCTGAGTTCATCCATCCATCCACCCCACAAACTGAATGGCGGTGTGTGCCTATAACCCCAGTACTCAGCAGGTGGAGACAGGCCAATCAGAAGCTCAGGGTCGTCCTTGGCTATAAATCACAATAAAACAGAGGACCTGTAATTCCAGTGATGATGAAGTGGGAGACAGATTGGGGGGTCTCTGGGAGTTTGAGGGCCAGCCAGCCTGGGCCACATAGCAAAGTTCCCAGCCAATGAAGAGTCCTGCCTCAAACAGGTGATGAAAGGTCCCTGAGGACCAATCCC